CGACCAGGAAGGTTTATACCAAGTGTTCCTGACGTGCTGACGTCAGTTCATCTGGTCGCTAGACCGACACCTGTTCTGTTGACGAATTCGTTAGGAATCTGTAGTTTGGAGTTGGAAGCCTCTTTTACCCAGGTAAGGGAGGTTTTAAGTACTTGGATAAGAGGGTAGGGCTAAACTGAACATCCTATATCCAGTATCGAATCTCCAAAATATTCATCCTAACCCTCCAATTAAAGTTCTGTATTATCATCACTCAAAACCACCACAGGTAATCTCCCGAAGGAAAGGCTGTCTACCGAAGTTCTTGTCATATTCAATTTTCTGGTTTGGTCAACAGAAGTCAAATGGCATTTGGTCCCGTGCGAAATGTTGCAGGATAGTTTTTACGAATTCATCAAATTCTGGGCGCAAAGATATTCACTTGGCATGGCACATCGTCTTTCCTCTACTCTTCACCTAGCCCCAGAGGGGTTCAGCTGTCGACTACGGTGTGTCGGCGCGGTGGGGTATTGTTTTGCGGGCAGATGGAAGAGTGGCAGGCAACTCCCTTCGGGATACCCTTCGTATCAATCAGACTTGGTCCATGGAAAGGTTGAAATTCATCAAACATCACACCACTTGCCTCATGCCCCTTTCACTTGTCACACTTGTTGAGGAACATCGGAAAAAGCCTTAGATTTGCATGGTTGAAGTGTCTATGACATGGGAATTTGAGAAGAGCTACTGTATTTCATCGAGTTCTTCATGGCGCAGGAATGCTTGGAGTAGCTATCAGAATAGCTTATCAGATAACACCGATATCTCGGTCAGGTTATCATTGAGTGCTAGGCATGTGGTTGCCGATTCCCTTGTGATCCACTCTGTACCTTTCTAAAGCGGGTTGGTTCCCGATAGTCAGTTCCAATGAGTACAGGACCAACTTCTTGACCTGACACGTATCGAGCCAGCCCTGACTGTTATCGATAGCACCAGGTTTGGCTATGGTACAGGTTTGAAGGTCGTGAAGCCCCGATGGAACCCCTGCCATCGAAACGCTGCCGAAGCTAATGTCTCGTCCCTGCCAAATGAATGGCTTTCTTCTGCCTCACCTCTGCCAACTTGTCTGACTCCTCGTCTTCAAAGCAGCCGGCCGCAACTCCCCCGAGCATGCTAAGTTGCATGCTAATTGCCGCATCGTTATTAGCGTCAGATGCGCTGGCTGCAGATTTATTGCTGTTTGCCAGGCGAGAGTAGAGCACCTTGGGGAGTCATTCTTCCGGTGTAGTCCAGCTACCGTAGCTTCAACAAGATGTACGACCAGTCTATGTGGTAATCGACCTTTTTGCACAGAGAACAGGTTCACATAGAATCGATTTCTTTGAGGGAGTTCATTTGAAGTTGCTTTCAGAGTGACCGGGTTTCTCCTAGGCTGATGCCCTCACATAGTCTACACAGTGGTCGCCCCTAAATTTGTATATCTGTTGGACCGCTCACGTCAAGAAAATTCGTCCTGGTCGGAAGATTTCACAGCTTTCCACAGTTCCAGAAGGAACCGGGATCTTCCATGCCTGGGGAAGGCTCTACACCTGCCGGTATTCAGATAACACCAAAGAACATACCTTTTGAGTAGACACCTTTCACTTAGTATACGCAATTTATGCCGGGCTGAAACCCTAGCGCCTTTTCTTTTGCGATGACTCATCGACAGAAGACCTATTTACACATTTTCATCGCCAGTGGAATCGGCTCTTGACCAGAAGCCCTAGTATTGGATCAGGACCTATCCAAGGCATCCGGAAATGGATTAGCCTTCCCAGATCAGCAAATTGATTATTCCCTTGTTGAGAAGGCGAAGTTGATTCGAAGGGTAGCTGTCTTCTGCTGGGCCTATAAGCAACTATTGGAATAAAGCTCTCAATCTCCGTTTATTTCTGGGGGCAACTTTCTGAATTCTAATCAATTTTTTGATTTTTCCTTTCTATTTATAATAATTTTTTTTGTTCTCTGCGTCAGTAATTGTATATTATGCTTATTCAATCATATATTTATTTTCTTATTTATATATTTTTTATTTTTTATTTTTTATTATTCACACAAGGCCCACCAAGGGGCTTCTGTGTCGGTATAATGTATGCTAGTAGAGAATGTATGCCGCAGCGAACGTGGTGGTACAGCAATATGACTGGTAGTTATGCATTTCAGTTGATGTGGTATGGAAGAAGCGCTGGAGCCTTTCGTTGGAAACTCTTTTAAAGCCTTGAGCTTCTATGACCTTTGCTACGGCTAAATTCTGATTGGATCTTGAGAATTCCCCTGCTCATACTGGCAGCGGAACGCCCCGAGTGCTATAGTCCGTAACGAAGCGTCGCCAGTTGATTCGCATACTTGTCACCACTGAGTTCATCCCATGGGAATATGAGAGAGAGAGGCACACGAAAGCGGACAGAATAAAGTACCACCACGTCTCAACAGTGAGAGAATATGAGATCGAGAGACGTCAAAGTATGCACGTTTCTTATAATTTAGTGGAAGGACAGAACATCACTGGGGAATGCATCGACCTCGGATCGTTTGACGCACTATGACTCCTGAAGTAAGTAGAAAAAAGCAGTTAAAGATGTACGTAAGTGGTTTGACATCAGATTTTTATAGGTTTCGGTAAACTTTACCTTGCCTTTACCACATTTGGGTACTTTTACCTTCACCTACTTCTATCGCGGCACTTCTCAGAAACCACTAAATTCTTTGTTAATGAACAAGCGGTTTGTGAAATCACTGATTACCCCTAACAGACTTACCATAGAGAACTCCTTCTATTCTACCGCTTTCACCTTCCACCTTTCCCCTACTTTATGAAGAGAACCCCTTTATGATCAATTAATTAGATGGTCGCGTTCATACTTGGCCAACTTCAAGAGGCAAGCCAGCTCGTGGGGTCTGGTCTACAGATCAACAAGGGAAGGAGATTGGCAAGCCATGGCGCAACTAATCCACCATTCATACTATGCTTCTGCCAGCCAAACTCTTTCGAGCATACGCTCAAACACGACTGACTCTTCCACTTCCTCCCGAACTGGATCATTTTCATCGTTCATTCCAACCCTGTATGAGCTGAAACTTATTTTATTTCGCTATCAATCATTTTCGGTAACCTATTCACGCTGGGCACATACCTCTTTTTCGGTTCCAACAGGAATGGGGAATCTCTGGGAAACGGCCTCTCACTCCTATACCATCTTGTACTTATGAAAACAGTTCAGAATGGGAGGATAGCATCATATTCGCCAGAACGCATCTGATCTCACGATTGGGACCTCTTGTTCCCACAAGAGGTTGGAGAGTGTCAATAGAATAGACTGGATCGATCAGTAATTACTAAGGTTACCGGTGAATACCATTTATATTAAAATATCATTACGATCGACTTGATCTAATGATATCTATTGCCTATAGATTGCTTTCTTTCGATATCTCTTCACTACCATCACCATTTTAGGAGAAATACGAGAACGCTAGGTGGCCAGGTCATCAACAACCTTTTGCGTCATAAGAGCTTGTCAGTACATCTGCTCAGTGTCTCATCAGAAGTGCCCATCGAACAAATGTGTTTGAAACCTAACACCCCCGGCCGGCCTTAACCCCGTACAGTAGAGGTACGCGATTAGCTATCGTGTTATCCAATCTGTTTCCTGCGCTAATCCACTCACAGTATCCAGTCGAAATGATAGAGGTCAATTGGTCGTCGTCGTCGTCTCGTCAGAGAGGGTGTTCGCCAGCTGGTGGCCTAAACATAAGTACCGTACACCTTCGTGAGTACCTGCACGTAATTGAAGTGGCTTAGTGAACATTGCTGGAACAGGTCAAGAGTACTGCAGTTAAGGAGCGATTAAGCAGCTCATTGGGACCAGTTTTTTGAATGTTTCCCCTGAATAATGTATGCATAGGTGTCTATGGACTGGGCAAAAGAATGGCATAAGGATCCCGAGCCAGCAGCAGTTGGGACTGCTGACGACGAGGTTTCGAACACGACGCACATTTATTAGAACATAAATATGCAAACGAGATGTCTTTTGTGCGCATCTGCTCTTTCCGTCTCCTGCGATGCGATGTCTTGAACCACGAAAGGTGCATATGTAATGAGACGACCAGGCCCGATCTAGACCCCATATGGGATCTTTCAATTTTCAATGACTTGAACGCAGATGGGCACAGTTTGATGCTTAAGTGGGTACATTTGATTAATGTTATTAGATTAATACTGAAGTACCCATGAACCCATAGCTCAGACACATCCCGACCCTCTAAGCTTCAGCTCACCCATTTATTTGATACTTCAAACTTTTCCCAGTCCAAATTGGTCTTGTTCGTCTCCCCAGCAAATTTCAACAACAATTTTCCAGCATGTTTACTTATTTTGATCAGACTCAAGTTCATGAATAGATTGAAAAAAGTAGTGCAGTGCGTTTCACTACTTCATGAAGCACGATCTTAGCCCAAATAAGGGTTTCATTCCTTACAAAAATCATTTTTTTTATAACTTGACCCGCATAAGTTGTAAAAAAATTAACCGAGTCCAAATTTATGTATGAGATGGCAAACATCCAAACGTCTCACTGACTTTAAGTGGAAATGCCGAAGGCATGGCGCGACGAGAATGATACCGACTATTCTGAATTTCTATGTCTAAATCAGTCTTCAAATGCATTTTAGCAATGCTCGTCTCAAGACTAGGCTGCCAGTATTCCTAATATTCAATGGGATCTTAGTTTTCTTCCAGTTGATCGATCAGAATTTCACTTTGTATCAATTCAATGGTTTTATTTTTTCATATTTCCTGAATCTCTCATCCTTCGAGCCAACAATGACTTAGGCTTCTCAATGCTGTGGAGATCTTCCTTTGAAAAATACTTCCAACAAAGAGCAGTTTTTCCCAAATAATGGACAAAATCCACCGCGTTTCCAGGTTACGGCTTCGATTCCCCACTCATAATGCTCACAAGCTTTGATTCTGACTGGCGACCATGTCTACCAACGACGACAATATCCTCGTTTGTACCATCAACAGATCTGAACCACCATATCAAGTTAGTTCAACTCTCACTTCTTTCGGGCGCAAAGGAAACGTAACCTTTTCTATATACGGTTTTTCCATTTTTTTTTTTAAATTCTCATCATTTTTTCAAGTTTTTTTTTCCATTTTTTATTCATTGCTCTTTTTTTGTTCGTTATTGGCTTTGAAAACTCCCAATGACCTATCTGGCTTTTATATTTGTGAACTAATTTCTTTGATATTACTGAGCAAATTTCAAAGCTATTTCTTCAGCCTAATGTCTATCTATGCCAAAAGAACAGCTATTGTTGCACATATTATGGCGTATCGGTATGCTGCTATACCGACATCACCCTTGGCGAAGTGTTAGTTTCTTTTCGTTTTTACTCTTTTTATTGTGAGTACAAATCATTTTTATCGGGATCCCTTGAATTTTTAGATTGAAATTTTCATTATTTATTTCATAGGTAAACGAAAATAATAAGAGATGGTCAAAATCTTCATTTTTTATTTATTTATGGCTCAAATAAAACATGGCCACGGGTGCTCATGATCGGCACCTCTTTTTCGACTTTACATATGTACTTTCGTAAACGACCCCTTCATGGCCCTTCGCCTTCAACAGCCATGAATTGATAAATCTTAAAAGGAAAAGGAATGAAAACCTGTGGGTTAAACTCTCAGCCCGCTTCAGCCACTAGGTGAGCGCGTGCATTTCATATGTATTGATTGAACCTATTCACATATGCCAAGCATTCATTAGTTTCCAGTCAGATGTTTTTTCTACAAGACATTCATTCAAAATGACGAGTGAGGAAGTTGGACTGAAGAGATCAAGGAGATCCTCAGAACCAGTAGCGGCTTTAGGAACATTGGTATTCGAACATAATTTGGGGTTTAGGGCGCAGAAGCCTTGAGGACCTGGGCGTGAGTATCCAGACAATGGGTCACCTACTGCCTTCGCCTAATGAATGAGGAGAGGAGACACTGGAGCTCTTGCGTTTTTCTGTTATGTTTAATCGTCTGGAAGTCAATTTTTAACCAAATGATCGGATAAAATGCTTCTCACAATTGGCCATGTTCACAGACCTTCAGAACAAAAAAACTCTAGGAAGTTTATTTGAGTAGGTGATGATTTCAACCACTGGGATTGGAGCTCCTTGAGTTCGGAAATGCTACCTTCATGGGTATGAGCTGAGAAAATCCCCATTCAATGAAACATCTCGGTCAGTATTCAAAGTCAGAGAGATTTCCTGGGAGGTCACGACATCTCCTTAGCCTAGCTACTACACTCCATTAGAGTGAAAAGAGTCAACTGATGTACTTCCCTTTTATAGCGGTGGACTTCCCTCTGGTTAACTCAACGATGGCCTTGTTGAGTCCTAGATGACTTCCAAAACGTAGTTGTCCATTGGGAATACCATCCTTTCATTCGATGATGTTACGCGTTCGTCATATCGAGCCAAGGTGACTGGTGTCCGATTTCCGTTCCTTATGGCGATGGTGTTGATTACGGTATTTATCCGGTAGATTAGGCAATAAGACACAGCAGATTGGATAATTGCGACGCGCCATGAACTAAATGACCTATTGGTGGTGCTATCTCATCGTTCTCCTCCTCCTCCGCTTCGTTGTCGATTTTAGACGACGTCCACAATGAGATGATTTGAATAGATATAGAATATCAGGTCGTTAGTTTGGCCGGGGAGCAATCCACACAAGCAGCTGATAAGAGAGGAAAAGACAAAAAATAAATAAAAAGAGAAAATAATGAAATTTCAGGTTGACTCAAATGTGGCCGACAGCCACTATTTTTATTTGTTTCCTACTTGTGGCTGCTGTTGTGAATTGGTACTTCAGTGATGATGAAACGGACTATGACTTTGAAAAAGAGCGTTCAAAAAGGACCGTGATCAGGTGAAAACTGTAGTTCTGGGAAAATTACACCCATGTAGGACGTACTTCTAGGCTGCTCTATCCAACTGATGAGAACGACACCGTAAATGACCCACTCTTTGGACCACGATATGTCGAGAAAGTGCCCAGGTAAAGCCCCAACGTAAGCTTTTCACAATCAGTTCAATAAAGTTGGAAATTTTCAGGAAAGCCTACGTGAACAAGAACGAGGAGGACGCCGATGAGCCAGCACCCACTCCCAGGCCAATCCTGGACGAGTGTTGAGGTTTTGGTGATGTTTTGTTCTCGAATAAATCGTTTTCGTCATGTATTCCACTACATTTTTTCACAGTCTTACTGGAGCCTGAAACAGGACCTGAGATCTTTACCCTGGGAGACGAGGGGAACCTGAACAGAATCCCATTAGGCTCTTTTGGTTGACCCAGCTCTCGGTCTTGACTTTTCGTATTCCACTCCCGATCTGTCTACGCCAGTGATTTTCAAACAATAACTGTATCCAAGACTTGGAGCTGCAACCCTGGCATTACCTTCCTACCTGAACCTGGGAGAGTGGGATTTTCACCTACAATCTGGCTCGATTTCGAAGGAAGGATAGGTTTTCACTGTTAGGTTGACCCTCCCACAGACCCTCGCCCAGGACTGCTCTTCTCCCTTTGTCCATCGTTTTTACAATTCTTTCCATCTTCTAAGAACAAGCCTCATCTTCCATTTCAATCCGTCTACCTCTCCAGCTGCCCTCTCCTCCATATGGGCGTGTGCGTGATCCTCTTGCGTAACCGATCTGCCGCCTTTCCATTAAACCCACCAAATAAAACACATCGGTAGCCTTTTGGCTAATGTGTTAATGCTACCCATACTGCTATAAGTAGGTACTTGCCTATTCTATCATCTAAAAGACTAACCGACTGGTATTACTGTAACAGAGCGTGAAATTGACACCTCATATTGTGTAATCAAGTGACGGTGCATTAACCCAAGGCAAATAGGGAGATCCCGATCGGGCTTTGGTCTCTTGGCTCGTCCCTTCTCCTCCCTTACCCCTTTGCAGTCGATCTACCTGGTGGAATGGCAGTTCGTTGTTTTTTGTCGGCCTATTCCATCATGCGCATCTGTTGCTTCACGAAGTATGTTGCTCTGGCCCATCTACAGTAATCCATCACCGTCACCACAAAGGAGTTGCCTTTGTTCACCTTTTGCACTGCGTCTCCTTGGCGCTAGCGCTATTCACCGCCCTATCTGCTATAGTATGCAACGCAACATCAAATATACATTACGCCGGCGCACCTTTTATGCTGGGCCTATCAGACGGACAGCAGATGAGCACGGATGGATGTCCAGCAATTCATTGCCTATTGAGTAGTAATGAACAGCAACGAAACCTGGAATGAACCCTGGGATCACGGTACAAGGCCCTCTGTTTGTCCTCATCTGAAGGACTGGGCGCAGCCTGGGACAGACAGCACACAGCCTGGTCGTTTCTGCTGACCAGACGTGAAGGGATTACATGAGCAGCAGCTGTAATACGAAGCAAGAATACCACTAGCTGGTCAGATTTGAACCACGTAAATGGCCCGGAACGAAGTGATGGCCCCCCTAGCTGAGCAATCCGATGATT